TTTCTTTACATAAAACTCTCTCTTATACATGAGTTGCTGTGGATTTGTTTCTCCAAAGTACCTAGACTAATACAAAGGAGTACGTGCTCTAGCCAACATGTTTGCTGCTTCTATGTTAATACCTCAGGAAAAGTAGATATAAGGGCTCATAGCCTCTTCCAAAGAGCCAAGTGGCTCTGGAATACCAGGATCAAGTTAGCAGGGGGATTTCTGGATCACTATTAAGAGTTACCTGTCTTCTGTTACTTGGTTTTTAACCCTTTGAGGCCCCTGTAGTAGAATTTGTGAAATTGTTTATATTTGGACCTTGTATTTTTAACTTCCTGATGAAGTTTGTGTCTTCCAGGTTGCATAAATTTCACATTCAAATGATGGCCAAACAAGGGCACCAACCTATCCCCTTTCACACCCTTGACCAGTCAGCCTTGACCTTCTGAGGGAGAGTTGGGGTGGGCGGGGATGTGACACAGGCAGGCAGGGCAATGTCATCCCTGAAAAATAGGAGGTAGTCAGAATGAATTGAACTCCCTTTTCCTAAAAATTGAGGGTTCCATCTCTCTCAGGGGAGAAATGTTAGCTAGCTAGAACAAAATGGAAGAAATCAGGGCTGATGATTCCTTGAGTCACAGCTGGGGACAAGCTCAGACAAACCCTAAAATTTCTGTGACCCAGCACGCTCAAGCTCACCAGGAGAAAATGACCACCATAAGAAAGGGCCTTCCCCTAAAGAAGAGTGTAATTATAAAAACCCCTAGAGTTGCTTGAAGTTGGGGTCTGTTCTCTTTTCCTTTCTGAGAAGATAGACCCTCTTCCAAGTGTACTTTCACTGTTTCTTTCTGGTCAGTAAATATGTTAAATATGTCTTTGTGTTTGAGAGTGTCTTTCTTGCAGCTTCATCCTCATGGACTTACCCAAAACTTTCTAGTTAGCAGGTGAGTTGAAGATCCTCGGGACCAACACTTAGGGGGAAAGTGAGAGGGTAACATGATGAGCACTTTGGAAACAAACAAGTGATAGGGTTTTAAAGACTGCTGCCTTTCAGAAGCAGATTCCCAGTCCTCTTGGTGAGTTTCTGAGGAGCCCTGGTGGCATAGTGGTTATGCATTGGGCTGCTAACTGCAAAGTCACCAGTTCTAAACCACTAGCTGCTGCACCGAAGAAAGGGCTTTCTACTCCCTTAAAGAGTTACAGTGTCTGAAACTCACAGAGGCAGTTCTATCCTGTCCTAAAAGGTTGCAGTGCAAAAGTCGGCATTGACTCGATGGAAGTGAATTTCGTTTTGGTGTTGAGAGTCAAGTGCTTACCTGAGATGCACTACCCAGGCCCTTTCTATCATCAAGAAGCAAAGATTATATTTTTCCTTAATACATAATGGATGGATTCTTTCCTCTGTTGTCAAATATTTTTCTGAAACATGTTTAAATGACTGCATGCTATACCAGTTTGTCATTTCCCCAAGTGAAGACCATAAGAATTACTATATTTGTCCAGCTCCGCCATCGCCTGCGTCGCCAGCATGCCAACCGGCACCATCGTCTACTTCCCCGTTAGAGGGCGCTGCGAGGCCATGCGCATGCTGCTGGCTGACCAGGGCCAGAGCTGGAAGGAGGAAGTGGTGACCAAGGAGACTTGGATGCAGGAACAGCTCAAGGCCTCTTGTCTGTACGGGCAGCTCGCCAAATTCCAGGACGGGGACCTCAGCCTGTACCAGTCCAATGCCATCCTGCGGCACCTGGGCCACTCCCTGGGCCTCTACGGGAAGGACCCTCGGGAGGTGGCGCTGGTGGACGTGGTGAATGACGGCGCGGAGGACCTGCGCTGTAAATATGGCTCCCTCATCTATACCAACTACGAGGCTGGCAAGGAAGATTATCTGAAGGCACTGCCTGGGCACCTGAAGCCCTTTGAGACCCTGCTGTCCCAGAACAAAGTGGGCCAAGCCTTTATCGTGGGCGACCAGATCTCCTTTGCCGACTACAACCTGCTGGGCCTGCTGCTGATCCACCAAGTGCTGGCTCCCAGCTGCCTGGACGCCTTCCCCCTGCTCTCGGCCTACGTGGCACGGCTCAGCGCCCGGCCCAAGCTCAAGGCCTTCCTGGCCCCTCCCGAGCACATCAACCTCCCCATCAACGGCAATGGGAAACAGTGAGGGCCATGGGAGCTTGGGTGGGCGTGGGGGTTGCCTGCCTGCCTTTACTGGCCCACCACCAGCCAGTGCTGTCAAGACACTTCCCCTTAGAAGGGAACCCCGTCCAAGAGGGCAGAACTGCTCCCCGGTTTCTGAGGCTGTCAATCTTTACGGAAACCCGACTGCCCCATCTTTCTCCCTTGGGGGAGCTGGTGGGTTTGAACCGCTGAGTTTTCAGGTTAGCACCTGAGTGTGTAACCTGCGGTGCCCCCGGGCTCCTTCTCCTCCCTTTCCTGGAGCAATAAAAGTTGTCTGAGAAAAAAAAAAGGAATTACTATATTTGTCTGTAACCTTTTATGCACAACCTTAATTATTTTCATACATTTCCTAGCAGTGAAATTTCTGGATCAAAGAAAAAAAATTCCTGGATCAAATGCTCTCTGGGAAGATAGAACCACTTTGAACTTCCACCAGCTATGCATATGAAAGTGCCTATTTTCCTACATCCTAGTTAATGATGGACATTACTATTGAAAATTGTTTTCCAATTTGAAAAGATAAAAGTGATGATATCTTGTTATAATATTCCTTTCTCTGCTTACTTCTGGGCCCAATTTTTCCCACACTATTATTTGCCATTTTTAATATGTTTTTTTCAATGTCTTCTGAATTCAGGTGGGTATTCTTTTAACCAAATATGAAATAGTGTCAAATTATATAATGACTCTCTCAGTTTCTATAGCCCATTCCCTGCCTCTTTCCTCTCCAGTGATACCTAAGGAAGTCATTTACTTGAAAATGCCTAAGAATCCTCCTTCCACAAAGTTCCAGTGTATCATGCCCAAACAATTGTGCAAGAATGGACATGAATCAGCATTTCTAGGAAATGCACGTTTAGTAGTTCTGTGCAGATGAAAGAAACCTGCTATCTTTGAGAAGATTCCAGGAATAGACGGTTGATTTTTAAGAATGCTGAAAACTCAAACTTACTGTCATTGAGTCAATGACATAGTAACCCTGTAAAACATAACATAACCTCCTTTCTGGAATTTAAATCTTTACAGGAATAGAAAGCCTCATCTTTCTCCGATGGAGAATCTGGTGGTTTCAAACAGCTGACCTTGTAATTGTCAGCCTAATGCTTAACCCACTATACTACCAGGGCTTACTATGTTGGGCATTTTGAGCTAGTGGAAAAGGTGATAGGCAAGTCGTGCATCAGATCTTAAATCCTAAAGCACTTTTTGTTGAAGGCTGCAGTTACAGTGGGAATCCCTAACTACACTTAAACCCAGACTCCAAGAGTTCAGACCATTAAACAGTAATGTGGAAGCTTTGTTATCAGGAAGAGTGTGTTTGAAAGTAGTTCACAACTTCCCTGGCCAGCCCAATCTTGCTCTCTAGAACTTGCCTGGTCATGTCCTTAATAATTTGAAGATGCATGTCATCTAAAGGTTGTTGTGCTGGCAGATATGACTCAGGGCCACATGGTCTTGAATTATATCCTGATAACCTCAAAGGTAGGTGGTGGACATCCAACGAATCTTGTAATCCTTTCTAATTTTCAGTTATGTACAGATCCCAATCGTGGTGCGTTTCCCACTTCTGTAGTCCAGCTTATGACAATGAATTGATCTTCCGCCAATTACGATTTCCTTTTTTCCCATTGCCTCTGATTAACCCCATGACTGTGAATTAATTGGACTCCATCTTGGCACCATGCTAATATCTATATATTGTTTAAGGTTTAATAAAATGGTCTCTATAGAATAGGTTGCTCTTTTTCTACCCACTACAATACCAAGTGCTATGTACTGTCTTTAACAATAGTACCAGCCACTTAATTTCTCTTTTCTGATATGTGTTAATCATCTGATTCGATTTCACAAGTATCTTCTCTGTTGATATTTTTTTTAAACATTAGATGTTATCCTGAAAAATAGTCAGATTCTTAACATTAAATCAGATACAATATTATCATATATTTTATTTTTGTGCTTTTCTTTCACTTCATGATCAGATCTATATTTCCAGGAAATTATTTGTTTTATGAATAAATTAGTAAAAAAATAACCCATTGGAGTTTATTTCTTTCTATTTTCATCTTCAAGATCTGATGAAATTAGTGACTTAATAACAAAACACATCAGATAATTCAATAAGAATCTATTAGATGAAAGAATGAATTGCTGGACAAGTTGACCCAACCTGAAATTGTACTAGGTGCAAATATTTCTTGCTTGTTCCATGACAAAAGTTTATTCCCTGGTCTTTTAAATGGTCTTTTCTTTCTTAGGTATTATTTATATTTTTCTTTGTATTATTATCTTATCCTTACCACTTTGTTTCTGAGTTTTATTTTTTCTGTTGGGTTTTCCAGTTTGTGAAACACAGAAGGAGTAGATACATAGTGATAGTAACTGAGGCAAGGATTTATATGGGAGGTAGACCTGGGGAGTCAGAGATAGGGAGGCTGGGGTGTTTGGGGAGCAAACAGTGTATGTGGGAGCACTAGAACTGATTGTGACACACAACTCATTTTAAAAGCGATTTAACCATGAAAAAAAAAAAGATGTTCTAAAATTGAGTGGGGGTGATGATTGCATAATTCTTCTTGGTATGATTGAACTATTGAATTATATGATATGTGGCTTATGTGCCAATAAAACATTAAAAATAAGAAAATGTCAAAGGGCATCTCAAGAAGACAAAGCTAAATGTGCAAAGACCTAAAATTAGAAAATCAAAAAGAAAGAGAATGCTCAGCATATCTTAAACTGAAAAAACTCAAGAAAAAAATCTTCTGCACTTGCAATATTGAAATATTCCATGTGCAAAATATTGAATGGTGCAGGAACCATCAAAAGAAGATGGAAAGAATACACAAAGTCACTGTACCAAAAAGTAGTTGCCCTCCCACCATTTCAGAAAGATGCATATGAGCAAGAATGAATGGTGCTGAAGGAAGTAGTTCAAGCTGCACTGAAAACATTATTCAGAAGCAAGATTCCAAAAATGGATGACATACCAATAGAAATGTTTCAACAAGCTAATGAAGTACTGGAAGCACTTATCATCTATGCCAAGAAATTTGAAAGACAGTTACTTGGCCAACTGACTTAAAGGGGTCCATATTTGTACCCATTCCAAACAATGGTGACCTAGCAGAATACTCAAATTATAGAGAAATATCACTGATACCATGTGCCAGTAAAATTTATGCTGAAGGGCATCCAACAAGGATTGGAGCAGTACATTGACAGAGGTTCAGGTAGAAATCAGAAGAGAACACAGAACAAGGGATATCACTGCTGATTTCAGATGGATCTTCGTTCAAAGCAAAGAATATGTGAAATATGTTTACTTGTGTTTTACTGACTATGTCAAGGCATTCGTCTGTGTGGATCATTACTAACTATAGATGGCCTTGAGAAGAATGGGAATTCCAGAATACTTGATTGTGCTTAAGCATAAATGGATCAAGTTGTGTGAATGGAACAAGGTAATATTACATGGTTTAAAATCAGGACAGGTATGTGACACTGTTATATCTTCTCGCCATACTTGTTATTCAATCAGTATGTTGAGCAAATAATCAGAGAAGCTGGCTTATATGAAGAAGAAAGTGGCATCGGTTTGGTAGGAAGGCTTATTAACAACCTGAGATATGCAGAAGACACAACCTTACCTTCTGAAAGTTCGGAGGACTTGAAGCACTCGCTGATGAAGAACACGGGTTGCAACTTTCAGTATGGATTAAAACATAATGTAAAGAAGACAACAGTCCTCACAACTCTACCAATAGTTAGCATCATGATTAATGGAGAAAGTTTGACATTGTCAAGGATTTTTTCTTGCTTGGATTCACAATCAATGTTCATGGAAGCAGGAGTCATGAGATCAAAAGATGCACTGCATTAGGTAAATCTGCTGCACAAGACCTCTTTAGAGTATTGATAAGCAAAGATCTTATTTTGAGGACTAGGGTACACCTGACCCAAGCCATGGTATTTTCCATGGCCCCATATGTATATGAAAGTTGGACATTGACTAAAGAAGACCGAGGAAGAATCGATGTATATGAATTGTAATGCTGAAGAAGAATATTGAAAATACCAAGGACTGCTAAAAGGACAAAGAGATCTGTCTTGTAAGAAGTACACCTAGAATGCTTCTTAGAGGCAGGAATGGCTAGACTTGGCATCAGATCTTCTGACATGTTATCAGGAGAGACAAGTTCCTGATGAAGAACATAGAGGAGTTGCTGGTAGTTTTGAACTGCCGTCCATTCAGATCACAGCCCAATGCTATACCAACTACATCACCAAGGGTCCATAATAGGAAAAAGGGAAGATCAAATGATATTACTTTTTAACCTAACTATATCTACCACAATCATCTTTATAATGCTCTGTCCAATAACAAGGCTATTCACTTTCTTTGACTATGGTCAGCAGGGATTCACAGGAGGCTTAATCCTTGTGGGGACTCTGCAAATGGATTTTGGGCTTCCCCTGTCATCCATACCCTTCTGTACACTGGGTGGTCACAAGTTAAGCTCTGATGCCATTTCATGCTTCAGATATGAATTATGTTTACATTCCTTGGATCAAACAAACTAAGTGTTTCTTCCATGTGGACGTAATCAATGCCTCACTTAACTGGCTGCTTGTTTGAAGACAAGTCTTTAAGATCCCAGATGCTATATTTTTTATTGCTGGGCACCATCTAGTTTATTCACCACACTTTGATTTTGCACATATACATCAGTGATCTCTTTGTTAGGGTAAGTATCAAGCAAAGCCATGTCATAAGAACTGAATGTTCTGAGATTGGGGCTAGAATTAAGTGTGAGCCTAAAATCTATTCATATATTTATGGTTTATATATATCGCTGGTTAACCTTCAAGACAACATAGCCATTTTATATTAGAGAAAATTATCAATCATCTCCTTGGGGCATAAGATAATTCTATTGATAATGTCATAATTTAGCCAATAGTATGGAGTTTAAAATACAGTTAAGAAAAGGAAGTTATGCAAGTATAGGCTGGCTGTGAACTTGCATTATTGATATGTACAACTCTTAAGTGACTGGA